TCTTTTAATTTTTCACCGTTGTGCATTTTTCGCGTTTTCCTCATTGACAACCCTGAAACATATGTTTAAAAACATAAGCATAAAATGAGAAAGAATTATAAAAAAAATACCCCTGAGATTTATAACAGTGAAAGTAACTCACAACCATAATAGTGGGGAGTAGATTAGTGAGGCAAGATCCGAAAATGTAACTCACAGCCATTAGAAAGAGTTTGAGTTTCAATCCATTGAATAATCATGTACATTTCATAATCAGAACACTCTAGAGTTATACATATTGAAATATTTATGAATTAATAAACTTACAAATACTAACCATTGAACCAAATTTGTAAGTGGTTAAGATGTCAAAGCCATAGGGATCACAATCTACCAAGCAATATGCAGGAAGGTGAAAATTCTCAACCTAAAGCCGCAAAAACCTGTTAGAAAAAAAGATGCATAGTATCAAACAAAAGAGGACAATTAATTAGAATCCATGTACGGAATAATTAAAGAAAAAATGACACTTTTCATGGGTGTAACAGACATCTTATCCATGAGGAGTTTTAGTGGTATGAACTAAGACAACTTTAATATGGCTTTTGAAATTTTCTCAAAGATTCTCACTTTCGCGTGCAAGGTTAGACCTTTAAATTGTTTCTTATAAATTCTTCCAAGACACTAGTAGTTAGCCACCTACAACCAATCTATTATCTGAACCATTAAAAGTAGCTCTTTTAGGACTTACAAAACAAAGGGTAAGTGAAAATGGATGAAAAAAAGAAGGAAAGCAAGCCATGTAAAGGGAAATAAAAAATGAGATAGATGCAGTAATAAATGAAGAAGAACCTTAGTTCTCAAAGGGTGTTGCTGGAGTCGTTTCAAGTGTCTGATCCCTTATTTGCTAAAGATCCCATCTTGCTTCCTCTTTGACCAGAAAGAGGTAACTGGGTCCGTGACTAATGTTTAAAAAAATGAAAAATAGAATGAGAGTGAATGAGGGGAAAGGAAAAGGATGGGGTTTGAGTGAAGTATCGGAGCTGAGAAAGGCACGAGGAAAAATAACCCATTTACCCAATTCGATCAGACCCATTCGTAAATTGAGGCAGGTTATATTGGATTAATGGATTCAAATTTATAACCCAATATATCAACTTGAACGGGTTAGACAAGCATACCCCACGAATCATATCTGTTTTGCAAGTTTATAAGGAACAAATATATTTCCTTTATAAAAGTTAATAAGGGAAAAATTCGTTTACAAACTTTTTTTACTAATTACACTGAGTATGAATGGTCATATACTTTTGATTGAAATATGACCGGTCATATTTAATGTAATTTGTAAACAAATTTTTTATAAATATAACATTTTCCAAGTTAATAACAATATAAAATATATTCGTACAAGCATGGTCATCCTTGTAAAAAACATATCCCTTTTATGAATGAAAAACTAGTTGATTACCCGTGCGATGCACGGAGAAAAAAAATCGGTTTGTTTGTCCCGTAAACGAATTAATAAGAAAATTGGTTTGTTCGTATGACATAAACGTGTAACTTTTAAGGTAGGAACAAAAAAAAGAATATAATAATTTAAACACAGTAAATTCCATGGTTGACAACAAAATCTCCATTAAAAAAATATAAATGTCATGTTGACAGCAATATAATAAGAATTATGCCAAACCGATACTCACAACAGTTGTAAAATATCGTTCGCCATGCACTATTGGTATTTGCTGCTGTTCGAAATGAATCATAAACAATATTTGGAAAAGAAAAAATTATTGAAGGAAATTATATAGTTTAGGCAGATGAATAATTCAGAATTACAATGAAAAACCTTTGACTCTGAAAAATGACAAGGGAATAATATACTGATTGTGCCTCGAATACTGAATCTGCATAACAATAAAAAATTAGCAGAAAAATAGGCATAACAACTAAAGGAAATCAACAAAGAAGATTAAAAAATATTTTCTGATAAAAAATTGAGATCTTACCAGATATCAAACAACAGTGTTATCTATTTGTAGAAATAACCAAGTATACTACACTAATCTTTGAAATACTTCCTTGTAGACGATGTTAAAGGTAGTATTTGTAACGCAACCATTTTCATCAAGTATCAGCATCTTCAATCCATGTCTGCTCTTTACTCTAGATAGTGCCACATATAATTGCCCATGAGTGAAGACAGACCTAGGAAAATAAATGCCAACATGAGACAACGACTGTCCTTGACTTTTGTTGATAGTCATCGCAAACGAAACTACCAAGGGGAATTGTCTTCTTTGGAAGTTTACTGGAAATGTATGACCCGATGGGCTGATCGTCATTCTAGGGATTAACACAGTATCTCCTATATTGTTTCATGTAAGAACAATTGCCTCAACAACATGATTCCCCAACTTTGTAATAAGTAATCTCGTACCGTTGCATAAACCTCTTGATTGATCAATATTTCTCAATAGCATCACCGGTACTTTAACCTTCAAAGTTAATTTATGATCAGGAATCCCCGAACACGAGAATGTATTTAAGATATCAGGGGAGATTTCGTCATCCTCAAGAGATGAATTACCGTGTTGTTTCAAAACCTTATCTGAACTCAATAATGTCCTTTCTTCACCCGGAATCACAGCCATTAGGTGCTCGTTTAACATGGCAACATCGGACAATTTAGGAGTCAGAAGAGCACGTTTTTTAAAGAAAGTAGGATCTAATATATTATCCATCAGATTCGGGTAAACAAAATCAACAATATCTGAAAGTGGGTCTTCTGAACCTTTGATCAACAATTCATCTGGAATTGTTATAATAGATTCTCCATCAACATCTTCTCCAAGATCACCATCTCCTATTTTAAGCAGCCACTCAGAAAATTCTTTTATTTCCAACAAATTATTAGTGCTACTTCCAAAATTGAGACGCATGTTCTTGGTCAAAGATAACAGATGACAATGGGACCATAGATAGGAAGAATTGATGGTTGCATGAACTATATCTTGTCTACTGTCATTTGGAATGACAGGTAATATTTGCCGAAAGTCACCTCCTAGAACGACAACTTTTCCACCAAAGGGCATATCAACACAGCTAAGAACATCTCTAAGTGTTCTATCAAGAGCCTCAAAGCAAAATTTGTGTACCATCGGTGCTTCATCTCAAATGATTAACTTTGTTTTTGACAACAACTCTGCCAAAGTAGAATTTTGTTTTATATTACATGTTGAATCTTCGGTGATCTGTATATTATTCGATTTAAAGATTAAAATTTGATTTTTAAAAGAATTTCTTTTCCCACCATCCATATTTAAATTCAAAATTTTAAATCATTTCAAATTTTGAATTTCAGATCAGACGACCAATTCCAACATAAAAAGAAATTAAAACACTTGATTATCCAATTAAAATTTCGAATTTCAAAATCATATTTATTAATTAATTATTCTTTTATATCTGCCACCACAAACGGTCATTTAATTATTCAATTTAAAAATTAAAATTAGATTTTTAAAAGAAATTCTTTTCCCACAATCCATATTTAAATTCAAAATTTTAAACCATTTAGAATTTCGAATTTCGAATTTCAGATCAGACGACCAATTCCAACATAAAAAGCAATTAAAACACCTGATTATCTCATTTATTTTGTCTGTCAGCTCTCTTGATTCTTGATTGTTATAATATTTGAATCAATTATATAACAAAGATAATGTCTTTGTTATATCATTATTGTGTATAAATTATTTAAAAAATAACCATAACGAAATTGTGAATTGAATCACAATCAAGTCTTCAACAATTGTGAAATTTGTTTTTGTTTCTATTGATCACTATGAATAGAGATCGTGAATGCATGTCCGTGAAAAGAGTTTTCTTTTTATTGAATTTAAAATTTCGAATTTCAGATTGTGCAAAATAAATACATAATTTCGAAATTTAATTGATAAATCATTTAAAATTTCGAATTTCAGATGAGATGACCAATTCCAACATAAAAAGCAATTAAAACAACTGTTTTCTTTTTGGATACTAATGTGATGGGCAGTGGGACATTAAATGCCTTGACTGCCGCCACAAATGGTCATTAAATTATTCGATTTAAAGATTGAAATTCGATTTTTAAAAGATATTCTTTTCCCACCATCCATATTTAAATTTAGAATTTTAAACCATTTCAAATTTCGAATTTCAGATCAGACAACCAATTTCAACATAAAAAGCAATTAAAACACCTGATTATCCAATTAAAATTTCGAATTTCAAAACCATATTTATTAATTAATTATTCTTTTATGTCTGCTACCACAAATGGTCATTTAATTATTCGATTTAAAAATTAAAATTTGATTTTTAAAAGAAATTCTTTTCCAACCATCCATATTTAAATTCAAAATTTTAAATCATTTCAAATTTTAGATCAGATGACCAATTTCAACATAAAAAGCAATTAAAACAGCTGATTTCTTTTTGGATACCAATGTGATGGGCAGTGGGACATTCAATGCCTTGTGTGGCACCACAAATGGTAATTAAATTATTCGATTTAAAAACTAAAAATTCGATTTTTAAAATAATTTTTTTTCCCACCATCCATATTTAAATTCAAAATTTTAAACCATTTCAAATTTTGAATTTTAGATCAATGACGCATTCCAACATAAAAAACAATTAAATCAGCTGATTATACAATTAAAATTTTGAATTTTGAAACTTATTAAAAAGCTGATTATCCAATTTCCGGATTAACCACATATTTATCATTCCAATAAAACAATTGAAAATATTGTGGAAAATAACTAATGACAAACAGATAAACTTGTATTCCAGAATATGCATAAACATTACTTTGTCTACAGGAACGCTCCTATTTGAAGTTAAACACGGAGGAAGTGATTACCAAAACACAACAATATAAAACTACAATTATATTGTTCAATCCCAAACAATCTCCAAAACAAAAAACTTTCAAGTGACGTTGTTCCAGCTTCCAAGTGACATTGTTCCAGCTACGCGTCTTTCAGAACAACATCAAATCTAAACAGAAACAAAAAAAATAACGACGTATTAACAGACACATCACACTCACGTTTATAAATAAATAAAAGCTACATAAAGAAAAAAATAATGGGTAAGTACTCAACTCTTTCTCTAGCTTAATCTTCTTAGGAGGACGGACAACTGATGAATTAAAATCGTCTTGAAGGGGATCATTAGGATTCATTAACGACGTCAGCATTGATAGCGAAATATCAACAACGTCTCCACTATCACACGTCTGACTTTCCACATCCTTGTCAAAAACAAATATTGTTTGAAATTAACTTATGTTTTGCAATAAAACTGCATGCAACATTTTTTTTATTAATTCATAAGCAATAATTTTGAGATACCGTAGCTCTTTCCGGTTCTGCTGATGCAACGACACTGTCGCAAGCCTTGTCAAATAATCCTTCATCCTGCATTTAAAACAAATATTTTGAAAAAAATCAAATCCATTGAAACGCATAATGAGAACAGCAAAACTTAAATAGAAATAATAATGTTAATAAAAAAAATAACTCACATTCGTATCCACAACAGTCTTAAGGAAGGATTTGATTACAGGTTCGCTTATACATACTTTAGAAATCTGATACCTAGGCTCACTGTATGAGTCCAAATTATTTTTTTTCACATTCACTTTAAACAACATGAATTTATCAATAAGAACATTAAGTTCCTTAGGATAGTGCTCGAAATCATCACCCTGCAAAAAAAATATTAATGAAATTTTAATAAGAACTTTAAATGAATAAAAAAATGAGTGGAATAAGAACACAAACCCTTTTAAAATGCTACTCACGTAAATCCGCAGCACTCATGCCCAACAAAGCAACACAGTCTCTATCAAACAGAATGAAAGATGCAGAATCAGTGTGATCCACAACTCTCAACTGCACACAAAATCTGCAACACATGACCACCAATTGTGTTATTTATAAATAAAATGAACGATCTAATAATAACAACAACAAAAATAGATATAAAATCTTACTTTGGATAATAGTCATCAAAATGTTTTTGGCAGTTTTTACAGTACCATTTCTCGAAATCTTCATAAACAGAATATGGACATTTATTACAGGACTTGTACCACCATTTATATTTGCTCTCAATCGATTTTATGGTTTCATAAGTAATGCAAGTAGTAATCTCACTGCAATTCTTAACATCACTGATACACTTCCTTTCCGTCTCTTTCAGGAAATCATTCTCAAAAGAATATGAGGACTGACTTGATAACTGACACAACGTGTAACCGCTATCAATGACATCAGACGAAAGCCTAAAAAACAACAACATTACAAATAATCAACGATAAATAATAAAGAAAAGAGCAGAATAATGGAATAACAACAACTCACACCTTTTTTTGAAGTCGACAATCTCTGGTACAGTGGGACCGATAATTATCCTCGTGTATACTTTGTATTTGTTATTCCAATTTTTCCTTTAAAATTTATTATTAATTTCAAAACCATAAGGAGGGAAATAAACTAAAACATTCCATTATGAAATCATAATCAAATATTTATGTGAACTCATCCCTGAAACCCTTTATTCTAGCAAGCTGAACTATCATCACGTTTGGAGGAGATTGATTACTCCCCAAAATTTGTTGCACCTGGTCTACGTAGTCCTCCCAGAGAGTGCACTCGAGCTTGTGACCCCTACTTGCAGTTTTTGCAACAAATCACAAAATATAATTTTACATCAAATGAACATAACACATAACAAATAACCAATAGATACCTGAGGTTATCAAGCTCCACGACAACCATTTTTGTCTTCCTACCGGAGATAATATGCTCACGAACTTCCCCTATTCCAGAAACTAAACCGATGACATCTACACATTAAGGATGGTTAGACAGATGATATTGTCACACAAACAACAAAAGCATGACTTAGTGGACAGTTCAAAATCTACAAACCTACTAAATAAGGGGAATCAGACCGTCAAAATCTACAAAATCAAATCCATTGGTGGGAATAGCAGAATCAATAGTGGATTTTATATCCTCAAGAAGGACAAACAAAGGAGAAGTTTTTTTCATAAAAAATTTTGGGATGAAGTCTCAGGCCGATTTCATGTGTTTCAAACACATTGAGTGACAATTAAAATATATTTTTTGCTATTGACCAATGGAGCTTTTGTAGATTTTGACGTTATAGAGAAATAGTTTTCGATTCCCCTTATTTAGTAGGTTTGTAGATTTGTGTTCACAAAGTCATGCTTTTGTTGTTTGTGTGACAAATCATATGTGTAACTATCCTTAATGTGTAGATGTCATTGGTTTAGTTTCTGGAATAGGGGAAGTTCGTAAGCATATTATCTCCGGTACAAAAATGGTTGTCGTGGAGCTTGATAACCTCAGGTATCTATTGGTTATTTGTTATGTGTTATGTTCATTTGATATAAAATTCTATTTTGTGATTTGTTGCAAAAACTGTGCAAGTAGGGGTCACAAGCTCAAGTGCACTCTCTGGGAGGACTACGTGGACCAGGTGCAACAAATTTTGGGGAGTAATCAATCTCCTCCAAACGTGATGATAGTTCAGCTTGCTAAAATAAAGGGTTTCAGGGGTGAGTTCACATAAATATCTGATTATGATTTCATAATGGAATGTTTTAGTTTATTTCCCTCCTTATGGTTTTGAAATTAATAATAAATTTTAAAGGAAAAATTGGAATAACAAATACAAAGTATACGACGAGGATAATTATCGGTCCCAGTGTACCAGAGATTGTCGACTTCAAAAAAGGTGCGAGCTGTTGTTATTCCATTAGTCTGCTCTTTTCTTTATTATTGAACGCTGATTATTTGTAATGTTATTGTTTTTTAGGCTTTCGTCTGATGTCATTGACAGCGGTTACACGTGTCTCAGTTATCAAGTCAGTCTTCATATTCTTTTGAGAATGATTTCCTGAAAGAGACGGAAAGGAAGTGTATCAGTGATGTTAAGAATTGCAGTGAGGTAACTACTTGCATTACTTATGGAACCATAAAATCGATTGAGAGCAAATATAAATGGTGGTACAAGTCCTGTAATAAATGTCCATATTCTGTTTATGAAGATTTCGAGAGATGGTATTGTAAAAACTACCAAAAACATTTTGATGATTATTATCCAAAGTAAGATTTTATATCTATTTTTGTTGTTGTTATTATTAGATCGTTCATTTTATTTATAAATAACACAATCGGTGGTCATGTGTTGCAGATTTTGTGTGCAGTTGAGAGTCGTGGATCACACTGATTCTGCATCTTTCATTCTGTTTGATAGAGACTGTGTTGCTTTGTTGGGCATGAGTGCTGCGGATTTACGTGAGCAGCATTTCAAAAGGGTTTGTGTTCTTATTCCACTCATTTTTTTATTCATTTAAAGTTCTTATTAAAATTTCATTAATATTTTTTTTGCAGGGTGATGATTTCGAGCACTATCCTAAGGAACTTAATGTTCTTATTGATAAATTCATGTTGTTTAAAGTGAATGTGAAAAAAAATAATTTGGACTCATACAGTGAGCCTAGGTATCAGATTTCTAAAGTATGTATAAGCGAACCTGTAATCACATCCTTCCTTAAGACTGTTGTGGATACGAATGTGAGTTATTTTTTTATTAACATTATTATTTCTATTTAGGTTTTGCTGTTCTCATTCTGCGTTTCAATGGATTTGATTTTTTTCAAAATATTTGTTTTAAATGCAGGACGAAGGATTATTTGAGAAGGCTTGCGACAGTGTCGTTGCATCAGCAGAACCGAAAAGAGCTACGGTATCTCAAAATTATTGCTTATGAATTAATCAAAAAAATGTTGCATGCAATTTTATTGCAAAACATAAGTTAATTTCAAACAATATTTGTTTCTACAAAGGATGTGGAAAGTTGTGATAGTGCAGACGTTGGTGATATTTCGCTAATGGTAAAATCCTAATGATCCCCTTCAAGACGATTTTAATTCATTGTGGTAAGAAGATTAAATTGCTAAGAAAGAGTTATAATTATTTTTTTCTTTGTGTAGCTTTATTTATAATGTGTTTGTGTCTATTAATACGTCGTTATTTTTTTGTTTCTGTTTAATTGGATGTCAATCAGAAAGTTTTTTTGTTTTGTTTTGGAATTGGTCATTGTAAAATTACAGTTTTTTATTGCTGTGTTTTGGTAATCAATATGGATGGTTGGAAAAGAATGTTTATGCAATTTGAAATGGTTTAACTTTTTCCAAATTTAAATTATTGGAATGACCAATATATGGAAAAGAATAATCAGCTGTTAAAATGGTTTTGAAATTCGAAATTTTGTATAATCAGTTATAAATTGCTTTTTATGTTCAATTGCGTTTCTATTTAATGACCATTCGAAATTTGAAATGGTTTAAAAATTTTGAATTTAAATATGGATGGGGAGAAAAAAATTCATTTAAAAATCGAATTTTATTTTTTAAATCGAATAATTTAATGACCATTTGTGATAGCAGCAAGGCATTGAATATCCCATCACATTGGTATCCAAAAAGAAAATCAGGTTTTTAATTGCTTTTTATGTTGAAATTGGTCATGATCTAAAATTCAAAATTTGAAATGGTTTTAAAATTTTGAATTTGGATTGGAAAAAAAAATTCTTTTTAAAAATCAAATTTTAATTTTTAAATTATGTATTTAAATGACCATTTGCACAATTGAAATTAATAAATTGGTTTTGAAATTCAAATTTTAATTGGAAAAGAAAACTGCTTTTTATGTTGGAAATGCAAAATTTTTAAATTCAAAATTTGAAAAGAATATCTTTTATCGTGATCAATAGAAACAAAAACAAATTTCACAATTGTTGAAGACTTGATTGTGATTCAATTCAAATTCGTTATGGTTATTTTTTAAATAATTTATACACAATAATAAATAGACAAAACATTTGTGGGCGGCATCTTTGATATATGAATTGCAAATATCATAACAATCAAGTAAGAAAATGAAGGAAATAAATTAGATAATGGTGTTTTAATTGCTTTTTATGTTGGAATTGGTGATCTAATTGCTTATGTCTGATTTGAAATTCAAAATTTGAAATGGTTTAAAATTTTGAATTTGATGCTACAAAATGCCGAAAAGAATTTCTTTTAAAAATTAAATCTAATCTTAAATCGATTAAATTAATGACCATTTGTAGTGGCAAACTTAAATCCAATTGAATGTTGGCAAAGTTTAAACTAACTTGGGTATTAAAAAAAGAAAATCAGTGTTAATTCCTTTTTATGCTTGGAATTGATAGTAATATAAAATAGAAATTTGAAATGGTTTAAAATTTTGAATTTAAATATGGATGGTGGGAAAAGAATTTCTTTTAAAAATTCAATTTTAATTTGTAAAATCGAATAATTAAATGACCATTGTAGTGGCAGACATAAAACAATAATTAATTAATAAATATGGTTTTGAAATTCGAAACTAACTGGATAATCAGGTGTTTTAATTGTTTTTATGTTGGAATTGGTAATTGTAATTATTGAAATTCAAAACTTGAAATGCATTT